TCAAGTAACTTAAAGAAGTCCAGACGCTTTTCTTTGCAAGCTCCTTTGACTACGATGACCTGGATGACTGAGAACCTTCACAGACATATTCTTCTACAAATACTGACTCATAAATACTTCGGGAAACAAAACATTGCAGAGTGATATTAATCAGCTGCTTATCCAGTGAGTTTCTCAGAAAGACTAACTGCAGGATCTTTCGACTTCAGCTGAACGACAATCCTTGCTCTTCTGCAAGGATTACCATCTACTTCACTTGCTGCAGTTTGTAGATAGAGTGGCAGAACATTTCCAAAAAGGTCTCCAGAGCAGAGCTAGAACTGCCACCAGCCTGCTGTTCATAAATGTTGCAATTGGTCTAGACCACCAGTAGGGCTCCTCTTTGGAGAGTTAACTGAATGACATGTCTTGGTTAGGAAACAAGATGAGAAAGGAGGCCGGGGCTAGCCGGTTCAGTCAGTCCATTTCAATACCAAGCGCAGAAAATAAGCATGCTTTCTTTCAGCATTAAATATTACCACAATTAGCAGTAAACTGCATGTCGCAAACGTTAATAATTCAGTTTGTGTGTTTGATTTAAATCAAGGACCAATCTGACCCTATGTGTGGAAAACAATGCACGAGGATTCAAATAATAATGTTATAAAATATGCAAATTATTTGCCACAAAGGTGATAAGAACAGCAGCTAAGCATTTGCACTAATAAAAAAATCCCTGCACCCCAAAGTCATGTCTGTGGACGATCTAGAAACAAGCTAATCATCAGATATGATTTTCATTCTGTTTACAGCTGTCGTTCATTCCAGCTGCGAACATAATGAAGCTATAAAACATAACTGAGCTCTGTGTTAACAACTACAAAGCTTGACCTTGAAAATTTTAACAAGGTCAAAGCTATTCATCTGGCCAGCTGTAAGCAACTTTCCAGTTGAAGGGGAAAAAAGCACATTATTTGCTCAAACATGTATGAGTGCAAACATGCATGCGTGTAATTATTAGCATTTAGGTGAAGAGTTTCTAAATCCCTCCTCTCCTCCTGCATTCAAGCTCCAAATACTCTCTCCGTCTTCCTCAGCAACCCCTCTTCTTTCCTTAGTGCTCAGTACTGAATGGGAGCTTAGCTGGTGTGTGTGTGTGTTTGTTGATGTTTATGTGTGCTACGCGAGTGTGTGCGTGGGTGAGGAAGGAAGGAAAGGAAAAAAGAAAGAAAAAGAGCAAGGGAGAGAGCAATGATCTGCCAGAGAGCTAGATGAGGAGGAGGGAAGAGAAAAAGGGGGTGAAGGTGGTGTGCGAGTGTATGGAAGGAGGTGCGCGTTTCTGCTGCTCCGTGCGTGAGCATGTGTGAATTATGCCTGCAGTTATCTACATGCGAGGCAGAGCACGAGTGAGAGAAAGTGAGCCAGCATGAAGGGCAAAGATTGTGTTTATGTTGTCCGTGTGTGCATGTGTGAATGTGTACTCATGCACGTCAGGAAACTGTGGTGTCCCTGGCTCTCCAGTGTTTACTGACAGGAAATGTTTGTCCAGGCAAAACGGAAGAAATCTTGCCGCCCCACATGGCAAACACTGGGACACGGGATACACACGCAGACGTGCATAGACGGAAATGCAGGAATGTACACACGCACGCACGCTTGCAAAGAGCGTTTAAAAAAAAAAAAAAGAAAAAAAAAAAGAGGAATCTGACGAGCGCTCCAGTTTATGTGGTGAGGTGTGGTATCTGGTATTGGGGAGGTGGGAGTGACTGGGCTGGGCACAGACTGTTCTTTACTTCCCTCCACCCTGACTGCCAACACAAGCTCCAGCAGATAGAAAGTCAATACGCTGACCCCCTCTGAACCTGTGCGAGTGAGCACAGGGTTTGACAGCTTTGTCCACACTAATGCACACAAACTGACCGACTTCATTGCTTCAGTTATTATTTCTGTTGTGATCTGTACTTACAAGTTACTTTGCAGATCAAGTATACAAACTGTACAGAGTGCATAAATCTGACTTTCTTAAGATAAATGATAAATCTGTCAAACCGCTGCAGTCATTTCAACCTTTACTGGAGATTAACATAACTGAAGAACAACACTGTGAGACTCTGAAAGCTGCCAGCTCTCCCTGTACTTTGTTTTATTTCAGCGTATTTGTCTTAGACTGAAGGTCGAAATACTTCAGTATGCTCTGAGAAAATTCTTTGGATGACCTTTGAAAAATGTGATGTATTCTTAAAGATTAAATGACACAATGGCTGCCCAATGACATATGGTGACTGATTCTAGCATTTTTCAATCTTCATTTTCAGTCTTCTTTCACATTATATTGAAAGTTCAGTCGCTGCTAACCTTTGCGTTCCAATTTTTACCCAAAAAAAACAAACAATTTCTTCCTGCAGTTATACGCCAGCATCTTTGACTAGAGGCTATCTTATCTGTCACAGGGTGAGAGATGAGATAAACCCTGGACCTGTCTATCAGAGGGCATTCACACCTATTGCCAAATTAGAACTAGCTTTCAATATAATATAACAGCAGATTTGAATGGAGGACCTTCATCCTATCAGTGCCAATCACAGCACCACCATAATGTGGTGAAACTAAGGAGAAACCTCTGAATGTCAGAAAAGCCTGCACGCACATATGGACACATGCACAAATATCTTATCCTAACTGACCCACCAACCTGACTGAGTCCAAATACTGAATCCAAAGCTGTGGAAAAAACAGCTATAACATAACATAATTAGTTTGGAGAAAAAAAAATGATGAAGATTGTAAAGTCTTCAACATTAGAAGTTCTATTTCCCACCACTGTTCACAATTAACCATATTTCCCATTCCATTTTCTGAATTAATAAACCACTAACACTTTTATTTACTTCTGAACAAGTACTTTTTCCACCAAGTCCAACTTTAATAAGCAACACTGCCAGTTCGCTCTGAAGCTTTTGATGGATTGAATAAAGAAGTTATAACAAGAACGCTGTCTGCGGCAGTATTTCCGAGATTTACTTTCGGAACACTTGCCAAATGTGTGTTCCCCAAATGAACAATGCTCCTTTCTGGTTGTCCTGCCTCATTTCCTTGTGATCTATGTTGACGTTGCAATGCGTGTGTGTGGGTTTGTAAATTAAGGACAGAGCTGGAGGCGACATGGGCATGTGGGTGTGTGTGTGTCTGTTTACCAACACACACTTACACACACACATACACACACACCTTTCAAACAAGAATGATCTAAACAGGACGAGATGAAAGTGTTTAAACCAGCATACGAGTATGTACGCAAATACACACAGCAGGCGAGCTGTACCGGAAACTGTGAGCCACAGCGGCGCAGAGAAACCAGGACACACGCACAAAGGAAAGTAAATCTCCATACCTCCTGTCACTCAAAACCTGCACAACAGCCAGAGCATCAAACACTTCCACATGCAAAACGCGAACCAACGCAGAGAAAACTGAAAAGTTGCTCAAACTCTACTTACTGGCTGGTGAGGGGGTGCTGTATCCACTGAGAGGCAGTCCCGGCAGGGCTGGAGGCGACAGGCTCCCCAACATGTGGGGGAAAAAGTAGGAGTAGGTGGGCACGGGGAAGCCGTTGAGGTGGGGGCCCGGCACCGGGTTGCCCTTCCCAGCCATGATGGCTCAGTCCACCTACAAGTCACGAAAAGACCTCACTGGGGTAAAGAAAAAACCCTCACTGAGAGGCAACAGCGCCACAGTCAGGAGTCAGTATGGATTCCTGTAAGGATTTAATCCCCCATAAGGATGCTGGGTAAGAAGATATTCCAACAGGCAAAGTTTGCAAAAAAAAGAAAAAAAGAAAAAAGAAAATATCTCCTTAAGGTTGACAAGGTTGCCCTGAAAATGGCCGCAAAATCCTATTGGGTTTAGCAAATGTATGTGGGTGAGTGTGTCTGTGTGTGTGTTAAGGGCTGAGTTACTAAGGACACAAAAGATTAAAAAAAAGAAAAATGGGGCCGAAGTATAAAGGAGGAATGTGGAGCGTTTTATCCTTCCTTTCTCTGGGATTGTGAAACGGTCTTATTTGCAAGAGGCGTTGGGAAGTAACGCGGCCATTCCTTATCTCGAAGATGAAGGCAGAGAAAGACAGGAGGCAAGTTGAGTCAAGAAGAGGTGCACTTTGATGGCAACAGTCAGGAGCGGCAATGGTGGTGATGGGGGTGCTAGTGGTTGTGATGCTTTCACGGGGACGTCATTCCACTCTTCAACTGCAGAGCGCTCCTAGGAAAAGTGCAGATCACATGATGCCAGGAGAAAGCTCTTCTCCCTGAATGGGCCCCCTGTTCGCAGTTGCAGAGCCTCTGTCTAAGAAAAAAAAAAGAAAAGGAGAGAGAGAGAGAGAAAAGGAGATCATTTAGTGCTTCAGTGGCAAGGTAAAGAGATCACTTCCCTTTGTACTTAAGTGTTTGAGCAAAACAGTGCTTTTCTTTTGACACTAATTAATGGTAATGTCTCATCTGAAACGTTACAAAAACACCCCATCCGCCTTAATTATCTAATGGAGTGTTAAAATTGCGATGCGAGCAGTGGGTGTGTGATGTCTCCTCTCAGCTTTGTGCGCTCACACACTCACTCATTAACAGTGACAGAGTACAAATACTGTGGGAGGCGAGCCAAAACATAAATGAAGAGAGCACCGCGAAAGAAAACTTTGCTAATTACACCAGTTGCAGAAGCCAGAGGTGAGACCCAAGGCGGCATTTCTGGGAACCGCTCGAGACTCCTGCTGCAGAGTTCGCTTCCAAATTACGAGCGAGACGTGAACAAACAGACCTGTAATCACCACGGAAAGCGTGAGCAGGCAAGAGCGCGCTGACATCTACACACCCGGAGAACAATTATCATAGAATGGTACATTAGCATCACAATATACACAGGGATATGAGAAAAGCCATTTATCCCAAACAGCTCATCATAAAATGAGCAAACTTTTTTTCTTTTTTAAACCATAATGACCTTTTTATGAGTCAGTGGATGTGATGCAGAGCAGTAAAACAACTCAAACCACACAGATGCCTCACAGAAAGAAAAGAAGCATGTGGAATGTGTCTTTGCACGAAGCAGGAATGTAGCACTCTAGCATGAATTACACCGCGACATCATGGATGAACTCCTGTAAAGAGAGAAGGGTTAAGTCAGACGTGTTTGTGTGCCTGTTTCCACTTGTGTGGTGTACAGAAAGCGCTGGGATATATGACAGGAGAGGCATGCACAGATGTACAGATTAATAACAAATTTAGGAAAGGGGGGGGGGCGACATAATGAGGTGAAAAAATAGCTTCATATAACTTTGGTATAGATAGAACAACTCCATATTCCCAAATGATGTTACTTGTCATGTTCCCCCACTGTCTGTATCATCATCATCATACTACATTTGATCGTAGTGCCATTTAGATGGCGATTGATTCAACTATTTCCTTCAAATAAAAGTGCTGTTTCTTCTTCTGTGTATTTGTATACACCGTAGATGCTGAGTGATCAAGTTGGTTTGTGAACATGAACACTTACACGAACGTTTTAAACACTCACAGGGGGTTTAAGTTTTAAGAATTGGAAAGTTTTTATTTCCTGACTCGCCTTTCGCCATTTTACACCATTAACTAAGGGTGAAATAGGGTCACAACAGATGGCAGCGACACGGGGATCTTTACAGACATTTGTACGTTACTACCAAAAAACTATGATTGACATAAAAGGCCAAATTTCCATCTTCATTTCTATGTTTTCAATTAAGAGCCCCTATTAGAAACATTAATGCAAGGTTAAAGTATCTGAGCTACACCAAAATGTTAAAAGTCGTACCTTTTCCTCTTTTAGTGACCAAAATCATATTCACCACTAAAAATTGTTTAGCTAATAAATGAATAATTGTTAATAGTTTCACTGTAAATGGTAAAAATGAAACTGACATAAGTCTGACATGAGTATAGGCAACGTGGTGATGGAGTAGTTCTTTGCTCTTAACATATTTAGTCACATGATTCTTTGATTTTCACAAAGAGGATTTTATGGCCTTGGACTTCCTCTAAGCTGCCTTATTTTCATATGCTTATTCCCAAAGTGCTATGCAGTCATTCTGTCACACTGAGCTGGTGTGTATGGTGGTCAGGAGATGAGCACATGAGAGCCTGAAAGCATTTACAGCCCATGGGAGCTAGGTATAGTTTTATTTGCTTTTAAAGCCCCTGTTGACCTAAAAAATAGTTAAGAGTCACATAGTAACAATCTCCATCAGGATATTGCATCTGTTTCAGACTACAACACAACAAGACGCATTACGAAACACTGGCTTGATACATTCTGCATTGAACCTTGCTGCAATCACGTAAAATGCAACAGCATTGCTGAAAGTGCACACTGAAGTGATGCAATGCCATATTTTTTTTTAATTTAATAAACTAAGGAGGCCACAAACGTTGAACCGATACTTTAAATGAGGAACTGCAACTCACCGGGACAATGGGAGACCCATAGACTGGAAATGGGCCACTTCATTCACCATTATCATTACACTGCCTCATATGGGCGCCATAAAAAGTCATACTAAATGATAAGCAGGACCTCATGTTACTGTTCACCTGCACCGACCCTGTTGTGCATTTCCTTTTTGCTGATGTTACAGTAAATAAACATGGCTGCAGAATGACTGGCTTTGGTTACATTTCGTCAGGGATAATAACAGCGTAGGCTGAGCTAAAGGCAGCCAAAGTTTCTGCTCACTTGTGTTTTGATTCATCGTTAGGTTGGACTGTTTAGAGAATGTAAACTGCGAGCAACAGAAAGCATCCTACTCTCAAAATTGGGAATAAAGTTCAGGTCAGAAAACTACAAAACAGCCAGCTCATATGTGACATAACTAACCATACAAGTCACACAATACATACAACCAGTGAATTTTGTCGTCTTTGTTACTTAACAACCCCTAATAACAATAATCTAAATCCCCGTATTTGCTAATCCCAAAAACAATTTACATGTTGTGCTGTTTGTAAGCATCGGAGCGTTTCCTGAACGAAGCCCACATGTCTGATGCTGAGAGCTAAAGAAAAGCATTTTCTGATGCATGTAAACAAAGACTGATTGTCGCAGCTGAAGCGTTTCAAAGGCATTATACAATCAGTTATTTTTCCACTCATCCGTGCATACTTGCAAGCGTCAACAGTTGGAGGCAGAACGTAGCTGACTACCTGGGTAATCCCCTCTGCTAGGACAGAACAATCACAGGGAAAAGAGATCAAACACACACACCACTACATGAGGAACTGAGACTCACCTGAAAACCTGTGTAATCTGCTGTGAGAGGTGCACATACCACAGTCAGGTAAAGCTGCCGACACACATATCACAAATCTCGCAAACAGCTGTGAGCTCTGTGTTTGCAGTGGCTAGCATGTTAAATATCGCACACTTCATCTTAAAACATCTGAATACGAGCAAATATTCTCTCCACTTCACCCAATCTGATCTCCTCCATCCCTCTGTCAGGCAGCTCTTGAATCTCTGTGGCAGGTGGGTTAGGCAGTGATTTATGTGCATGATATGCCTGACACAGAGAGGTCATCGATATGATGAAGATAGAAGGGGAACAGTCATGTGCCTAATGCTGTACAGTTTCTGCTCTTTTATTGTGTATTTGCTCAAGATCTCAGACTGAAACTGAATTTTTCTGCATGGCACATAAAAATTAACTCACCCATCTGCTACATTAATACAGCAGAAATGTGGACAGATGTGGAATAAAAGCAGTTATGGACAGACTGCAAAAGTCTAACATCAAACAGTAATGCAATAGCAAAGCCAAGACAAATCCACAGAGACCGTGGGCCTAGAGCTCAGCCCATTAATGTACATCTTCTTAAAGATTTTCTAAGAATTCCTCGCCCATATCTGCCAAACTCATTTTAAAATGCTCAAACGCACACAGGCAAGATCTAGCATGGAGGCCAGCTCCAGGGGGAATGTACAGTATGTGATCACTTACAGTAGGAGGAAAAATAAACAAACATTCTGGGTCACTTGGTCTTAACTATGTTTGGCATGTAGCAGGCAGAGGGAAGAAAGGGTTAGAGGTCATGAGAGAATGTAATTGGATGTGTTGGAAAACACTGAATTAATAATCAGAAAAGCCAGCAAATGGCAGCACGAGGTCCGGGCGGACAGCGAACACAGAGTCAATGCGAATACATGACGTATAGTGAGATTCTGTTGAGTGGATAAACATAGATGTGTTCAAGTTCAAGGAGTTCAGAGTTGGAGCGTAAAACAGACACTGTGTTTTTGTTTCCTTTCTTTTTTTTACCCCAAGACTTAGCACATGGACACAGCAAAGATACCAGTGAGTTTAGTGAAGATAGCCACATGTTATGATAATGCCACACAAAGCATAATTATAAAGGATCAGCCCATCTTAGAACAAACCTGTGATTACCGTAAGTGCTCTTTTAACTAAATTCTAAACGTATGCAGTGCATTGTGGGGATTTTACCAGTCATAGAAAGAACAGATTACAAAAGCAAATACTCTACAACCATAAACACTGCATCACCTCAATTACTCGCAACAACACCTGCTACCTTCTGAACACTTTGCTTCATGCATGTCAGTGAAATGCGGCTGATTTGTTGCACGTGCAGACAGAAATACTGCTACATATATGCTTTTACATTTGTAACCGCCTTTAGGTACTTCCCCTACAGCACCGCACTTCATTGTTTAACAGTGAAGGCCTAAACAAAAAATGTGTATGGCTTTGCAGTGGCACATGTAACGGAAGTCACTCAAGCACAATGCAGTAAAATTTTCATGAGGACAGCAGCGTGGGTGGATATACACGTCAGACGTGAGTGCAAACAAGCATGTGAAGACATGACTGTGTACATATTATACTTTTTCAAATGTCACTTACTTGCTGTGATATAAACACCATTACTGTAGATAATGCTCATATTAAACTAAAGTTTCAACTAATGAGGTCAGCGACAGCAATTCCTGTGAATCCAAAGCACAGGCAGTTTTTCTATTCCAAGCTCTGTATGAAGTTAAGAGGAAAAATATCAGACACACAGCTAGAGCTGTGAATAACTAACTGAAAATAACTTTTCCCTCCAGTTTCCTTTTTAAACCTTCTGTTTGTGAGGAGCAGCCAATCAGGAGAAATCTGGCTTAAAAGGGAGAGGAGCTGTGAGAGCTTGTTTCAGACAGCGAAGACTACATACAGGGGTGTACAAGAAAAAACACATGCTTATGTAATATATCAACAAGGGAGCGGTGTGTGTGCTCATGCGTACAACCTGTGTGGCATG